GGGGGGGGGGGGGGGGGGGGGAGGATGGCGTAGCTCCGTCCATGAGGCGGATGATAAAAGATATCCCAAAATCCTAGTCTCAACTTTTTGGGGACAAAATAATAATAATATGACTTATACCCTTGAGCCCAAATTTAACCCACGCTCCTGGTGGGTTACAATTAACCCAAATACGTGGGATTAAAGCTTATGTGTGTTGGGCTTTTCTTTTATTGAGTTTCAAAACATTTAATTTGTTGGCCTACACTATTTTATTTTCTAAGCCCATGAATTTTTTTGTTTTGTCTTTGCAAAGCCCATAGTCCAACTCCTTTGTCTTTTTACCGTTGGAGTAGCTTACAAGAGAAGCTATTACTTTATCTTTTTTGGCTAGATAGAGACTTCGGTTGGTTCATGTTCTCTTACAATTGTTGCTTCAAAATTCTCATCTCTCTCTTTCATTGCTTCAAAATTCTCACATCCTCTTTAGAAAAATTTTGTTATACTTCCACAAGGAACTATAAAAAGGGTTGTTAAACACTCTTCACAACAAGTGTGTGTTGGTGGAGGTGAAGCTATAAAAATCCTGGGAGGTTGTCATGTTGAAGACCTATCACACTGAGTCAGCGACTTCAAGGGGCGCGAATCAACCTTTAAGGACAAAGCTTCGGTTTGATCTATAGTTTGGTGAGATCGTTTCTTTATTTATATTTCATAAATTGTGATTTTAAGGGAAATTATTTTTGGGTCTAATTTCTTAGGTCTTTGTTTTAAGAAATTAATAGTGCAAGAATTTTTTTTTTCATCATGTTATTGATTTATTAATAAATTACACAATATTCTTAAATGTTGATTTTTGTAATGGATACACAACTTCTTGCAAAAACAAAGATCTTACCTGATGCTTCAAAAATTGAACATTTTGATGGAAATAATTTTCATAGATAGAAACAAAAGGTTCTTGGTGTGTTGAATTTTTCGAAATTATCATTTGTTCTAACCGAACCTAGACCCGATAATGATATCGAAAATTATGTTAAAGCTTTAAAAAATTGGAATCTTACCGATAAATTATGTTTGAGCACTATTTGTAATGCTTTGTGTAATGATCTATTTGATGTGTATTGTCATATTGAGAATGCTAAATTTTTATGGGATGAGTTGATATCAAAATATGAATTTGAGGATGAAGGTACTAAGAAATTTTTGGCCATTAATTTCCTTCATTATCAAATGGTCGAGGACAAGACCATTACATCACAAATTTATGAGTTTCAAAATATAATAAATGGGTTGGCCAAAGAGGGTGATGTATTACCCGAGAGATTCAAGACTCAATGCCTTGTCGAAAAATTACCCGAGTCTTGGAGAGAGTATAAACTCAAATTTCGACAAAAGAGAAATGCTATGACATTTCAAGAGACCATTGTCCACATTAAAATTGA